AGAAAGCTGATCATTGTAACTTTGAATGAGGGCCGTACATACCTTTTTTTGAGATCTATCATAAGTTTGAATGGTCACTAAGTGACTGATTATAAGTTGAGGACCAGCAGAAAAATGCCAGTGATATCAAGGACATGGAGAAGGAAACAGAGTGATGGGAGGACTAAATTAGTAATTTTGCTCAATTTTAAAGAATATATCTAATAAGGATGGAATAGACTATATCACGGGTGTCAAGCTCGATCATGTCACGTGACGTGTTTTTTGCCCTTGCGGAGCTGGGGTGGGCGTGGCCTGCGTGTGACACATCTGGCTCACGGGCCGCCATTTTGAGATCCCTGGACTATATGAACAGAATATCACACTCTGTAAGACTCTTGTGGATAGAAAGACTTGTCATACTGTTTGCCATCCACATCTGAAAAACGGAGTAATTCAGAGTACTCAGGACTCTAAAGAAGAAGAAGTCAGCCTTCTGCTGTCTTCTCTTTCTCCATTAAAGAAGTTCTAATAGAATGCAAGAATTTCTTTTCCTCAATAAAATCCAATAAAATTGCTTTGGGTCTGTTGAACCCTGTTCCTGAAAAGCGTTGCCTGCTACAGCGCTCTTGCTACCACATTGACGGAAAGCTTGATGCTTTTCCAAAGATTCTAATCACCCACGATTATAATCATAGTCACGTTAATTCGTAACTTAAGGATATGTCTTGGAAGCAGGGGCCTCATCACTCACAGAGATGCCATCTTCTTGGCTGACTAACTAGTAGCCATATGGTACTCTACAGGTTTGGTTTATTATATATGGGCTGCTCTCTAAATTCTTACCAGGGCACCAAGCACACTTGCTTTTTTAATAATATAATATATTATTAAAAATAATATATAGCAGCATTGAACACAGATTTCAAACAGTTTGCTGGGAGTGAGTGGGTGGAGAAGCTATTTCAGAAAGCTTTAGAAAAGGGCTTTGTTTAAAGCAGACGGCCTGATCCATAGCTGCTGCTGCTGTGTTTGTAAGCCATTCATTTCCCCACCTTTTTCTGCTCCTCATATTGACTTGAAAAGGTTTATAGAGTTTTCAGCTCTACCGTATTTTGGGAGGAATTATCATAGAAACACACAAAACGCTTGTTTAGCTGTGAAGTTTTTAAACTCAAGAATGTCCAATCTTTCTCTAAGTTTCAAACAAGGAAAAATTAATTTTGGTCTGGAACCTGCAGAGGCTCATCTAGAAATCCAATTCACCCCTTAAACCATTGTCACTTGGAAAAAAAAAGTGTTTCCATTATTTGTGCCTTTAACAAAAATTGTTTGTACATTGCCCAGAGTAACTTCTTGTGTGATGGGAGGCGACATAAATTTGATAAATACACATAAAAATATTGTGCTAGACTATAATGTTCTTTTTATTAGTTTAGTAATTGGATAGGATTCAAATAGGAAAATATTAATTTAGAATTTAAACATTAATACTCCCTATGTAGCCGTGCAAGTAACATTAAATCAGTCCAGATTTTCTCCAAATGTTTTTTTCTAAAAGTAAATTGATTAAGCTGTTTCTTTTGGAGTGATAAAAATTATATAGAAACATTGGGAAGCTTTATTAAAGATAAAATTATTCCCGTACAATATCTCCTTCCATAATTTTCATACTCTTTGCTTAAATACAGTTCTGAATTAATACAGAACCAGATAGGTAGATAGAAATCTATGTTCTGAGAATATACAATAATCGGCCCAAAAACTAACCAGTAAAAGTGCATTTTCTCAACAAACTAAATTAGAAAAATTTAACCAGCTTAACATGAGCCATGTTTAGCATGTTACAGAAATGCATTTGCTATATGTTTATTCTGTGTCTGTTCTGTGAATGTTGGCATTGAGTTACAGCGGCATTTACTTCTGAAAAGGGACACATAGGATTGTTGTAATTCTATATAACTCTCATATAACCACGAGAGTGTGAAAACCTAAACACACTTAACTCGCCGGTCAACATCCATGCAAACAACGACATGTGCAAGATTATGTAATCATGTAAATGTTGTAATTAAGTGAACTTGTGGTCAAAACATTTGAAGCAAGTACAGTAATCATAGCTGATGAAAGTTAGCCCAGAAGGAAATATTAAAAAGGGCAGAAAAATATATTTTTCTTCAAAAGGACTTTTTAAAACCAAACTTGGCCCCAAATCTATCTCTCTGCCCCAAGCAAGAGCCAGGCCCATACAAATGCAAATGTAAAACCATCAGAAAGTTGGAGCCAGAGCAATCAAGAAGACAAAAGAGAAGATCTGCATACCCCACCCAAACTCTAGGAGTCAGCCCCATCACCTGGGAAGCAGGATATGATAATAGAATTAAACCACAGATATCAAGGCCTAGACAAACACTCAGAAACAGCCTCAAGGTTCATGCCACAGGAACAGGAAACTATTCCAAACAAGGCTATTCCAAAAAAGCCTACTGCCCCATGTGCTCAGCCCTTTGCTCTCTTCTTCTCTCCTCTGCACTTTCCTGAAGACCATCTTTCTGCAATAAACTGTAACCTTCTTCCCAAAGCAGTCACCATGTTTGCTTATTTATTCCCGGCTTGGATGAACCAGGATGAAGACTTTACTTCTAACATAGCTTTGCGATCACATCCTCACATATATGTTTCATATCCCCTTGCAGACACCCAACTTTCTCTGCCTTCTAATCACCCAATGCTTTTCTTTCCTAGGTTGATCTTTATGAACTTCATACAGCTTCTACACACAGACACAGACACAAAAGGCAGGCTATGGCAACTGCTTTTTTACAAAACTGGAAATGGCGCAAAAAGGGGATTGTAGTCGTGACACAGTGGGAAGGCTCCTGATCAGGGTCCTGTTTTTGTGATTTGATTACTACTACTACTACTACTACTACTACTACTACTACTACTACTACTACTACTACTACTACTGCTACATTATTCATATTGGAAGCACCTACCAAGGCACTTTAGGATTGAAAGGATTAGTTGGTGACATCATCATTGCCTGAGGGGGCTTCTTTCATGTCCCTGTTATTTTCCCACTGAGGTGGTACCTATTTATCTACTTGCATTTGCATGCTTTTGAGCTGCTAGGTTGGCAGGAGCTGAGGCAAGTAACAGGAGCTCATTCCATCACATGGCTCATACTCACAGGTTTTGACCTGTTGAGATACTGACCTCTCAATGGTCTTCTGACTCAGTGTCCTACCCATGTGAGCCACTGAGGCCCCTGTGATTTGATTAATCTAAAAGTAGCACAAACAATTGTTATCTTAAAAGGATTTGCATCCTGAAAAATGGGATAAAAGCAGGGCTTTTTTTGTCATAGAACACCCAGAACGGAATTCCGGCACCTTTTTTGGATGGAACCTTGTAGGGTAGGCAAGGCGGGTGGTATGACATGAGTTCTGGTATCTTTTTTTTTTTTTTTTACAAAAAAAGCACTGGATAAAAGTAATTCTAATAATTAGTAAAAAAGTTTTCCCTTGCATCTTAAGAACAATGGCAACAGATTTAAACAAAAAGCTACGGAATCATAGATCTTTCATTCGGATCAATGAGACAACAAGATCAATGAAGGCTTCTGAGTTTGGATAACAGAAAGCAGGTTTTCATACCCTGAAATATACAGTATCTCCCTGTCCATAACATGAACAATTTACACAATAATGATAATAATGTAAATAATAATAATAATGATGATGATGGTGATGATGATGATGATGGAAGGGACCTTGGAAGTCATCTAGTCCAACCCCCTGCTCAGGTGGGAAACCCTATACCATTTCAGACAAATGGCTGCCAGTCTCTTTTTAAAAACTTCCAAATAATAATAATAATAACAACACCAACAATAACAACTTTATTGTTACTTTGAAAGTACACCATCGGCATACATCAAAATGAAATTTCGTTGCATACAGCTCTTAAAGGGTCACCACCTCCGATCTACACTCCTTGTTCATGGCCAGCTCAAGTTACAGATCTTCCATTTTAGTCTCTAGGGAGTGAACGATGGCAAACAGGATAGATGGAAATGGAGCTCCATGTGGATTATCCCTCAAATTAGTCTGTATTCCTGCACGACAACCTCCTTTTCTTTTTCTGGTCTTGTCTCTTCCACCTTTTCCTCAAAGAGGCCTCACTCCTTTTCGCCCCTGAAGAAAGCTGCCGCCGCCACCAACTCCTCCAAAAGCCTCTCTCCCATCCTCTGGGCCTGCCGACAGCCTCGTCCAGTTCCTTCGCTCCATAAGCCCCGGGACCTCTCCTCCTCTGCCTCCTTTGGAAACAGCTGTTATTTGCAATAGAATCCGTCGCTGGGCCAGCAGTCAGATCTTGCTGCTGGCAGAACAATTTCAAACAGCACCAACGGCTTTTAACGGTCTCACCAACAGTTCCGAAACAGCTAGAAACTTGCCATGCCAGCAAAGATTGTCAGTCATATGTTGTATGTTACCTTAATTCCACCACATTGCTCAAACACATTAAAACCTTCCTGATCATGTGGCCTATATCCCTTAATATCCCTCCTATAACTCTTCACCTTCGAGAGCCAATGCAGCTGCAGCCGATCCAGGCGCCGCCATCTTAGAACTTATTGATATTAATAAGCCTGATATGTACAAGGAAAGACAGGGCACTGTAGCTTCTTAAGGCTGAGCTAGATTACCAGAAAAGTCCCTTGAACATTTTTTTTTTAAAAATAATAATCTCTGTTTCATAATTCAGTGCAAGTCTAGCAGCATCTGCTGGGGGAGGGATCAGAGCGATACCACAAAGGGATAGAGCTTGTGACACCATGTTGTAATAGTGCTCTTGTTATTCTGAAAAAAAAAAAAACCAGTGTGAACCTGTAGATCAGGGGTTCTCAACCTTGGCAACTTTAAGACTTGTGGACTTCAACTCCCAGAATTCCTCAGCCAGCAAAACAACACAGCAAAGCTGGCTGAGGAATTCTGGGAGTTGAAGTCCACAAGTCTTAAAGTTGCCAAGGTTGAGAACCCCTGCTGTAGATGCTGCTGGCAGGATCTATTCTCCAATTTCCTGCAAGGTGTCTCTTTTTATGTAACTGACTTCTATTTTCTACCTCACTCTTAGGCTATTTTATAATTTCTTCAGATTTTCTGTTCTTGGTATTTTTAAGATTACCTCTGTTTTGTAAAGTAGTTAAGTTGCTGCTTTGGGTTACATGACAGTCTCTCTAGCACTTTGCCATTTTCATGGTGGTTCATGCTTCCTGATCTGGGGGGGGGGGTTGGAGAGAAGAAGCATGAGAGGTTTTATTCTTACTTCCCTTAAAAAGCTTCCCTGGTTTTATTTGAAATGTGAGAAGTTGGGGAGGCTTTATGAAATATGGTAGACCATGAAAGATCAGCCTGTTCCACTTTTGGATTTTTTTTTCCTTTGGAAACAAATTCATGAACCATGAAAGCTTTTTTAATTAATTTGAATAAGAGGTTTGGAAAAAAAAAAAACCTGTAAGGTTCTAGGGATGGAGCTATACAACTATTTTGTGTGATTCTAAATGTACTCTCCCTTATCTATAGAGTTGACTTGTTGAATATGTTAATACACGTAATTGAAAGATAATGATATTAACCTTGCATTCATAGCTTAAATATTTATTTCAGTGTGAAATGCTTAGGACTGGACTGTTAATACATATTTTCATCATATCACTCACTAATCTAACAAATAGTACGAGTATGCTACTAATATCTTACAAAACCAATATATTCTAAGATGCTAGAACTTTGATTTCCCTTTAAACCTGAATTTTTTATATTAAAAAAATCTTGTTCTAATGGAAGTTACAATTAATTTGACTAAAGCTGGGAAGGGAATGAATATTACAAGTAAAGGAAGGTGTGAGACTGATTTCTGTCATGAAAAATATTTGTAAAGTATTAAAAGACTTTGATAGCACATGGACCCAAGCCAGTCTGGAATTCTGGGGTAGCAACGTAAGAAATATTGACTTATAATCCCAGTTCTTACACATGGAAACAGGTTGGGAACTGTGTTTGATTCTTCAAGGTACGTAGATATGACTAATTAAAAATAAAGTTGTAAAGTCTCGTTGGCCCATATACTCTGGTGCTTTAGATTTTGGTATGGCAAACTTAAATTAAGAACAGGTCCTCTGAAAGTACTGTGCATCAGCTGAATTTGTGCAAATGGCTGTTAAGGCAGAAATGGGATTTAGAAAAAAAAAAAGCTCTAATCGTAATGACTGATATAGAAAGGTTTGTGGGAGAATCACGGTGGTGATTCGTGTAATTCAGAAAGAATGCAGCACAATAAGGATTGGCTTCTTTGTGAGTACAGTACACATGTTTCATGGAATGGGCTATGCATCAAGACAAAATACCTTTGAAGGGTGCTTTAAATAAGAAAAGGTCAGCCACTCCAGTGAATTCAATTGTCCTTTATGCTGCATCAAGCAAATCCACCTTGAAAAAGCATTTAATTTTTGCATCCTGCTTGCCATCTCTAACAAGAGGATTTCCCTTTTTTCCCCTAGAAAATACATGTTATTCTATAAAACCAAAATACATCTACGATTGGTATTTTCATACAATGGTGTGGCAGTCCTAAGGCACTTAAGCAGACAACTCAATTATTGTATAGGAAGGATTTATATCCTTGCCAGAATTTCAGAAGGAGCTCTTTCTTACTATAGAACCCTATAGCTATAGAAAATAGCTCCCACTAATAGTCAGAAGATCTACTCTAATAGCCTGTGGCGTTCAGATGTTCTTCTTCTTTTTTCTCCCACCATGTTGCTCAACTTTTGTCCCCCTTTCCAAGACTATTTTTCTTTGCTACCTCTAGAAAGTCTAAGTAAGAAATGGAGAAAAGAAATGCTCAATCTGCATAAATTACAAAGCATCTACATAAGGAGTCCAAAGGCATATCGGATTGGCCTCCTGACTGTGCCTGTTTCATTAACACACACATTCAGGCTTTTTGAACAAATCACAACACATATTTTGTCACAACTGCAATAGTTTTCTCATATTCTCCTTCCTTTAAGCCAGGGGTCTTCAAACTTGGCCCTTTTATGACTTGTGGACTTCAACTGCCAGAATTCCTCAGCCAGGCACGCTGGCTGAGGAATTCTGGGAGTTGAAGTCCACAAGTCATAAAAGGGCCAAGTTTGAAGACCCCTGCTTTAAGCTATGAGGAATGGAAATTATCTTTGGGGAAAAAAATCCTGTTTTGCTGCTTTTTTCCCCCCCCTTCTGACCCCAGGTTACAGAACAGAAGTACCTGGACAAGATCAAGATGTGCCTTTCATTTCTGCATTGCTCCAATTATATCTAGAATACTGTATTCAGTTTGGGGCACCACATTTTAGGAAGCACTGTAAGTAAAAAGGTGATGGATGATGGACTGCCTGCGTGAAGACATGCGAGTCGTAGGTGCATGCCCCACTGACATTGCAGATTGGACAAAGTGGTGGGCAAAATGCACAAGTGCGGACCTCACGATACAAAGGGAATACTGTAACACAAAGAAAAACAAGAAGAAGATTTTAGGAAGCACAGTGACAAAGTGGAGTACATTCAGAGGGGAGCAGCCAAAATGATAAGGGGCCTGGAAGGTAAATGTTATGAAGAATGGTTGGAGAAGTTAAAGATGTTATAGCCTGGACAAATATGTGGGGAGATGTGATAGGTGTCTTCAAGTATTTGTAAGACTATCACATAGAAAGGCAGATCAGAACTGTTCAGGGTTCCAGAAAGCAGGACAAGGAAAAATGGGTTTAAATTTCAAGGATGTAGATTTCAGCTGGACTTCGAAATACATTCCTAATGGTAAGAGCTGTTCAACAATGGAACAGACTGTCTTGGGAAGATGCTGAATTCCCTTTGCAGAAAGTATTTAAATAGAAACTGACTGCCCATCTGTCAGGGATGCTGGAGTGGCAATTCCTGCACTTGTTAGGGGGTTAGTCTAGATACTCTCCAGGGTACCGTCTGACTTTTGAATTCTGTGATTCTAAAATGCTATGCCATTCTTTGTAGCTGATCCTATTGACAGCAGTAACATCTCTGATCATAGGGAGTGATCTTGCCTTCCTAGTTTTCACTCCGGTGTTGTGCTTTTGCCTTAACACTTTGAAATAAGATCCTGACATCTGTGCTGCTCCTGTCTCCACTAAAACATATTTAATTCAAGCCCACTTTTTCTCCTTCTCTCCCACTCTGTTCCCCAACAAGCATCTTATAGGCTGGCTATTTTAACCAAGGCACTAAGGGCTATTTCAATTTGACTACAGCGGTTTTCTGCCAAATGGCTGCGCTAACTTGTGCACATTACCTACCAGAAATCCCAGGGATGATGATAGTGCTCTGTCAACTAGTCTGCACATCGATATGGAGGTTATTTGACTTGAAATTGGATTCTACTCTTCCTTGATCTGTTGTATAAATGGAGAAGCCTGTCTGGAGGAAATGCTCCTTAAAGTTTCTGAACAATTTCTTTGTGCCCCTTCTAGAGTTTGCCTCCTGCTTTGTTATGACTTTTCCATTCCAGGCTCCGATCATCGTGATAAATATTCAGAGGGAAAAGTAAATGCTTCTCAAATGAAAAGAGAAGCGTAACTCAAATTATCCCTTGCATGATTTTCTTTTCTGATCTGTTAAGGGAGGGCTGCACAGTTTTGTACCTGACTCTCTTTTTGACCTTTTCTTTAAATTATTTAAAACTTAGATCAGGAGTTCAGAATAAGAGGAATATGCTGAATACAAACCTGTGTTTTTAACAAAAAGGAAAAAAAAGATAAGGGAAAGAGAACTTTCTAAACTTCTAAATATATATCAATCTCCAAAAGGCCTCCACGGTTTTTAACAAAATAAGAATAGCTTAAATTCTGTAAAGCTTCAGCAGAAACTCTGCCTCCTGTCTAAAGAGCCTTTCACGAAGAGCAATATACTAAGAGTGTGTGGAAAACAGGAAAACCACACCGATAGGACTTCACTGCAGTGCAGATTGAATTGTCAACACTGTGATTGAGAAAGGAAGGAAAAGGCTCTGTGTAACTTACATGGGTATCATCAATATGTGGAAAACCCCAAGGGCAGCACATGGCACTTCACAGAAAACATGGGAAAAACACCCTTCTGATCCACATAAAAGGCTTCTTTGTGCCTCTCTCATAAGCACAAGGACTTATTCTGAAACAGATCAGGATGTGGAAAGTGCCCCCCCTCCTTCTTCAAAATCAAAGGTAGATCCTCATAAAATCCCTTCCACCACCAGCTGCAAATGAGAAATTCATTATAAAATCCTTTTTTAAAAACATTTGTAAAAGATTTTTCTGTACACTTTGTTTCCTTCTTCCACTAGAATCATAAACAATTATTATTTTTAATATCATTAATTGAAGATATATAGTAATTAGGAACATATATATATATATATTGAATTTATAGTGTTCGCAGTATTTGAGGTCTGCCTGCAAAACATGCTCCTAGATTGGAGCGAAACGCAGAACAGACTGATTTATATTTGGTAGACCGGATGCCTCACCCAACAGATAAGATACACACACACACACAGAGAGAGAGAGAGAGAGAGAGAGAGAGAGAGAGAGAGAGAGAGAGAGAGAGAGATACTGTATATATTTCCACCAGCTAAAGGAGAAGAATGAACTGGAAAAATTCAGTGGCAGAATCTGTCCCTTACAGACCGGCCACGTGAGGCATTCAAAGCTAGCTATAAAGCCTTTGGCTCCAAAGATTTAGGATTTTTGTCCTGGAATAAGGTATACAAAATCAGAGAAGGGGTTGGCATCTAGGGTCAAACTGTATCCCTTACATGACACACTTTAACACATTCTTTTGAAAATGATTGTTCTGATGCCTGGCAGTCATCTTTTGACAAATGCCACAGTTGGAAAAGCGGGGGTGGGGGGGGGGGTTAAAAAAAAAGAAAAGAAAAAGGAGAGATATCTTGACGTACTATTTTGTGCTCATTTCTAAAGTACAAAAAGCAAAATCTGCAGAAGAATATGTTTTTGGGAGGTTTGTTTCACAGGAGAAGAGTTATACGGTTGATTTATTTGAAAGGTTGATTTATTTAAAGGAATATATCTAAAGTGTTACCTTTAAGCTTAGCAAGTCGTGGGAAATTTTAAAATGTATGAAATAAATATGATGGGTTGTACCCAATGTAATGTCTTCCAGGAGTGGAAGATCTAGGAGGTTAACAAAGAAAAGTGGTGAGCTTCCTTTCATCTCAGAGCTACTATATGGCCTTCTGCCTTTTGTACAGAAGAGGGAGTTGTCCAGAGGAGAAATGCCCCCTTTTTTGTTCAGACCAGTGTCTTCCATGAAGTGTAGGTTGGATACCATCCTCGTCTGCTATATAATGCAATTTATTATAATTCATTCCATGCAAAGTATTAACTAGATTTTGATTATTCTAGAAAATTTGATCCTGTTGGTATGACTGTAATCTTAAAACTTTTTCATGGATTACAAATAGTAGGAATATTTCAGTGTTGCCCAAGATGTTGTTTTGCTGCATACAATTTGTTGTACTGTAGCAGAATCTTTTTTTCCCTTAGTATATGGCATCAAACTGTAACTTTCAAGTTAGTGTAACTGTTAACACTGTGCAGCCTGAAAATGAAAGTTTGTTCAGACATTTATTAGAGTGTTGTTAATATTAGAAATAAGTAACTTATCGCTTGCTGCATTTAATTTGTTCTTCGGATTGCTAAGTATATGAAATTGCAAACTTATGTTTCTCTAAATTCTGAGTTTTACATTATATGTGAAGGACTATCACCATCTTTTTTTTAAAAAAAACACCCTTTTTGCCCTTTATATTTATGGCACCAATTACATTGCAGCTAGAATATCCTCTCCTTGTTTCTAGCAGAACATTTGTTTCCCATATTGCATAGTAAAAAGAAGTTCAAAAGTCACCTTGCCAAAATCCTCAGAAGATGATAGAAGAAGACTAGAAAGCTTTTTCTCATAGAGAGGAGAAAAATTGGCAAAGCAGAAATCCTAGAACTTCAAGCCAGCCATGGAAGGAAGGAAGGGAGGGAGGGAGGGAGGGAGGGAGGGAGGGAGGGAGGGAGGAAGGTCCTCCCTAACATTTGTGCACATTTAGATGAAAATTTAGAAAGCATGTATGTTATTTAAATAAAAATAGAATCTGAACACATTAGGGGTGGCTGTAATAAGGTGAACTACTTTGAGGAGCAACTTCAAGGTCCTTCTACAAGGTCCTTTGTCTCTATCTCCTTTTTAACTAGAGGATTGCCTCAACTACAGGACTCTCCAGTGATGCAGAACATGTGACCACTCCAAGATCATCCTACCTAATAGCTTGCTTCTGAATGAAATCTCTCTAAGAAATAAACTTTTCCCAGGTAAGCCAAGTTGGGTAGGATGGTATGGGGATGGGGATGGGGAAGGGGAAGGGGAAGGAGAAGGAGAAGAGGAAGAGGAAGGGGAAGTGGATGGGGAAGGGGGAGGGGAGGAGGGGGAGGGGAGGAAGGGAAGGGAAGGAAGCAGGTGTTGTTATCTTAGCTGGAGCGTCATCATTCTCTCACCTGACTGAGACAAAAGTTTAAACTTCTTTCATTTCCTTTCTTCAGGCTAGCTTCAGCGGCATGGACCCAATTATGGAACTTGGTACCCTCCCTACTTGCCCCCACTGTAAACTATAATCAAAGATATGTTTGTTCATCCAGGCATTTTGTAGGATAATAATTACTCCAGGGCTAAGCTGTCTTTCAAACCTCCTTAAAATAAACTTTGTTTAATTTGTTGTATTTTTATAGTTGTATTGTTTTTTTAATGGTTGATTATTAATTGTTTTCTTGAATGGTTTTTATTGAAGATTATTCAGTTAGATTGCCGAGCACTCTGGACTCCTTTGAGAGGAAGTGCAGTATTATTGTGATTATCATCACTAATAATAATAACGGCTTTTCTTTTTTACGGTGAAAATTAAGTATAATAAGCAATGGTAATTTAAGATTTGAGAAGCAACCAAAATTAAACCTGGAAATAAGTAATCTAAGCAATAAAAGCTATCTGAAAGGCAGATAACAAAGACTTTGTTATCTGCCTGTCTTAAAATCCTTTATTTTTTTGTTTTTATTCTGATGTCCTTACTTAACACATATTCCCTGGTCTCAGGTGCCATGACAGTGACAGTTCTCTGCCCTCTTTCACCTTCTGTTGTTTCTCTCCATTGCCAGAAACATTTTTCAAGCTTTCTTTTCTCTTCATTTGAAATACATGAAGTAGAATACCGGTTCCATTTTAGTACTCTAGAAAATGCTCAGAGGTGAATTAAATAACCAGCCATCTGTGCCCACTTATGGAATGAGGCAATGTTTTTCCACCCTATATTGAGACATGATAGGTGAATCACAATCTCCAATTAACCCCTTCAATATAAAAATTAAAATGTATGGGTAGCTAAATATTAAGGAATCAATTAAAATAAATAGTACTACAATATTTGGGTGTATCTGTGCATATCTATCTATCACTTACATCTGTCTGTCTGTCTGTCTGTTTGTCTGTCCATCCATCCAAACATATGCACACAGACATATTAATTCAAACATTTATATTAATGTTTATATTTGTTTTGTTGTTAATATGCTTCACTCAGATAAGTTATAGACTTAAAAATATTTCCCCTTCCCAAATTCATGGCATGATCAAACGATAACAAACAGATGAAAATGAGTTAAAAATAGTAGAAAGAATACACACATACACACACACATAGAGAGACCCCCACACTGAACAGTGTTCAGATCCTACATAACAAAGCTAGAGGAGATAAAAATATAGACCTTTTGAGATACTGTTTCATAAAGAGACATCACAAAATAAAGCCTTTTTAAATATCCCATCAGTGTACCTCAGTTAATAAAAGAATCACAAAGATGTTACAGTTAAAACTGGGCCACATGGAAAGCTATTACTCCTGAGGGGTCTGTTCCAGGCTGTTCAGGGCTTTGAAAGCTGATGGCCACATCTTAAAATAACCCATCGGTAGACAAAAAAAACCTGACCTCAAATAGGTTTAATATAACCCTCTGATGTCTCCAAACCAAAATTTTGCTTCAACATTCTGAATCCCTTGAAATTCCCAGATTGTCTTTATGGGTGTTTCTAGATAATGTGTATCAAAATAAGCTAAAGACGAGTAGGAAACCCCATGTCAACTATCCAGTTGGCATTTCCAGAAAAAGAAACTCCTGGGACATTTTACCAAGAGAATAATACTTTGCCGAAAATTTACATTGGCACAGAAGAAGCAAAACCAGTTTCAAATCCCCCAGAGTTTCACCCCCCCCCCACTTCAATATGATGCTACAGAACCTAAACCGTGTATTTCAATGTTACCACTTCCTCTCCCCATGACTATCTCCCATCTTTCCTGCATTATGCTTCCATATAGTTCACGTTCATCCCCTCCAAAACAGGTCCAAAGCTTTATTTATTACTTCAACTATCTTCCGGGAATGATCTCTATTATAAGAAATCCCAGGTTTGTATCAATAACATTGGACAAACGGCATTATTTTTATTTATTTCTACAACAGTTTGTATAGAGCCTGCTTTAGAGATTCTGAGTAGGTAATACCTGTTTTAACAATTTTCTGATCACCGGGACAGCTTATACAGTATCGCTTTAATCCCCCAATTTTCCAGGAGAACATTACCATGTTAAGATGTAGCACAGTCTGTCTCAGATTCCAAAGGAAATGCCTCTGGGATTTTGAGGACAGCTAAGCTCTTTATTCCAACTAAAAACCCAAAAGGAAGTTTTACCAAACTTCAATTTCCTTCTTCCTACAAAATTGATTATGTATTGTGGGTGGGGTTGGTATTCCCTCTTAAAAATACTGAAAATTTTTAGATCTGAATATTTTTGTGGCATTCAACAATTAGTTCCCCGTTTCCTGTCTTTAAGAAGACCTTAACAAAAACCAGAATATACACCAGTTAGATCCAAAGTAGAGAGTTTTGTTACTGGATCTGAGAGGAAAAAATGTGTTTGCCTTGTTGTATAACAATTTATAGATTGTGATTGACAATGAAGATACACAGACAAGTGGAAAGGTGAGACATAATTAATTATTGAGAAAACGTTTTTAAAGAGTTCTCCTGATTGAGTTGTTCCCTATTATTTTTCTCCAATAGTTTTGTTATTTGAAGAGATTTGCTCAACTGCTTAACACTAGTATTATTTTACAAAATTTAGTTAAACAAGATAATAACACTAAATTCTCTAAGTGGAAAATAGAATTTGTAGGTAGGCAGCTAATAACAGATCTGTCCATGTTTGGAAATAATAATCATTAAAGTACAACTGAAAGACAAACTTCCCTCCCTCTCCAAAAAACATTTTGTTACCCTCTAGTTTTGTTCACAACTCACCTTTCCCTGAAGAAAATTTCCCACCAGATGATAATACCTGCTCAGGCTCCCCATCTACCTGGAGATGGGATAGAAGAGATCCCCAAGCTAGGGATTTTCTGAACAAACTCACCTTTAAGGGAACAGTTTATGCTCTGAGAAGTGATGGCCAACCTTCTAATGGCCTTATAGAAAGAAGCAAAGACCAGGTTTTTCTAGGGGGGCTTTGGAACTGAGTCTAAAACATAAATGCAAGTTATTATTATTGATATTGTTGTTGTAATATATTGCTCAAATTTTATATTGGTTATTTGATTATGTGCCATCAAGTCATTGTCAAATCTTAGTGACCCCATAAATACATTTTCTCCAAGATAATCTGTGTCTAGCCAGGTCCTCCAGCTCTTCCAAGTACAGTAACTGAGCCCATTTATTTTGCTACTGGTCCTCTTCTTTTTCTCTTTTTTTCCCCACCTCAGCCAACATTAGAGCCTTCCACAGAAAGCTAGGTCTTCCCATATTATGCCCATAATTTGAATCTGGTTAGCTGTGCCTTGAGTGAAAACTCTAGGTTGATCTTTTGATGGCGCATTTGTTTTATTTCTGTGGCTGGTACTCTCAGGAGTCTTCCTCATCGTCAAAGTAGATGCACACACTCATATAACACCTAACATCCAGCTTGCCTAAGACAGTATATAAATGCATAAGTAAATATAAAACAAACTATAGTGCAAGATAAGAACTGCAATCCAACATGTTTAGAGAGCCACGTCTCATCTATAAGGGTGGATCTTTTGTTCCAATTTGCTCAGTTGTGTCTTTTGAGGTAGCAGCTCTCCTTAGGCTTGCTCCTTAAATTCCTTTTCAACTGGTGATATTGGGGATTAAACTTGTACCTGTTCTATCACTAACAGTGAGGTTCCTCTGTAGCAGCTGCAGCCACATAACAGAATACCAGCAACAATCCCTGACTATGGGCTTAATTCTGCAATGCCTCCTTGTAGCTGTTATATCCCATGTTGTGATCACGGCTTTTTCATTACCGTATCATGTATTTCATGGCTATTGGCTATGAGATACAAGAGACAAAACTTCAGGGTGCTAAAACGTTCTCTGGCAGTGTGACGAATCGCAATGACAAGGTTGCATTTGTGAAACTTGGCACAGCCACTTGTGATACGATGCGGTAAAATGAAATAATCCTTTTTTTCCACAGACAATGCAAGCTATGGTATTCAGAGTGCTGAAGATGGCTCCAGCCCGCCTCCTCTCAGTAATCATGCCACTTCTTTTTAAAACCCAATTTCTAATCAATTCCTTTTTTCTGGGAGAGAATGAATGTAGAGTAAATCATTAATGAATAATTATGCTGAGATGATAATGTTCTCTGACTTCGGCTTTTGTGACAACTTTCCACTGTAATCAAATAAAAAAGCTCCTTTGATAATTTCAGGCAGTGCCATAATCTTTTGTTATGTTTCATAAATGAATTTAGCTAAAAATACAATACTTTGAGAAGGAAGGAAGGAAGGAAGGAAGGAAGGAAGGAAGGAAGGAAGGAAGGAAGGAAGGAAGGAAGGAAGGAAGGAAAAAGAAACAAATCTGATTATCTATGAACTGGAAATAGCCTTCTTTGAGCCAGTTAATGCTGTCTCATTAACTGATCACAAATCTCAGCTTCCACATGTTCTTCATTAGTACGGATAAAACTAATTCAAATATATGCTAAAAAATACAATTATCCCCAGACAGCTTGTGCTTAAAGAAAACATGTGGATGTTACATCCAGATGCTGTCATTCTTGTGGGTTGTTGGCTTGTTTAATTGTTCCTTGAAATGTTGATACCACAAAGCAACTTAAAAGGTATTGTGTTGCATTGCCACAGTTTAAACAACTAGTAGAGACGGCTCCACTTCTTCTACCACAGGACAGCTGTCCGTTAGTTCTAGTAGCAGCCTAGGAATTTGTAATTCCTCTTGCTACCATGAACATTGATCCTGGTCAAGCCACTGCAAGGATACATTTTCTTCAGAGACCACTATATATTAATAATAATAATAATAATAATAATAATAATAATAATAATAATAATAATAATAATAATAATAAAGTTGGAAGGGACCTTGGAGGTCATCGAGTCCAACCCCCTGCTCAGGCAGGAAACCCTATACCATTTCGGACAAATGGCTGTCCAGTCTCTTCTTAAAAACTTCCAGTGTTAGAGCATTCACCATTTCTGGAGGCAGGTTGTTCCATTGGTTAATTGTTCTAACTGTCAGGAAGTTTCCCCTTAGTTCTAAGTTGCTTCTCTCCTTGATCAGTTTCCATCCGTTGCGTCTCCTCCT